CCCCCCCCCCCCCCCCCCGCCCAGGATAAAGTGCAGTGGCATGACTTTGAACTCCTGGGCTCAGTCTTACAAGTATCAAGGACTACAGGCATGTGCCATCGTGCCTTGTTAGTTTTTGAAATCAATTAAAAAATTTTTTTAAATTAATTTTTTTATTTGGGTTATATAAACCACTCCTAGGCATATACTCAAGAGAAATGAAAACCGACATCCATACAAAAAGTTGTGTTTATAAATGCCCATAGCATCATTGTAATAGCCAAAAGGCAGAAGCAAAATCAAATGTCCATCAACAAATAAATGGAGAAATCATCACACACACACACACACACACACACACACACACACACAAAATATTACTTAGCCATACAAAAAAACCAAAGTACTAATACATGCTACAACTTCGATGAAATTTGAAAATATGCTATCTGAAAGACACAAAAGGTCGCATATTGTATGACTGCTTTTATATGATATATCCAGAACAGGCAAATCCAGTGAGTCAGAAAGCCAATTAGAGGTTGCCAGAGAATGGGGGAGTAGTGGTGATTATTTAATGGATATGGAGTGTTTTCATGGGGTGATGAAAAAGTTTTAAAACTAGAGATGGTGGCTGTACAACACTGTAAATACACTAAATACTATTGAATTTTAGCTTTAAAATGTCAATGGTATATTATGTGAACTGCATTTCAGTTTCATTTTCATTGATTGACTGATTGATTGAGACAGAGTCTTGCCCAGGCTGGAGTGCAGTGGTGCGATTCGGGCTCACTGCAGCCTCCACGTACCAGATTGAAGCAATTCTCCTGTGTCAGCTTCCCGGGGAAGCTGGGATTACAGGCATACATCACCACACCTGGCTAATATTTTTTGTATTTTTAGTAGAGACGGGGTTTCACCATGTTGGTCAGGGTGGTCTCGAACTCCTGACCTCGTGATCTGCCAGCCTCAACCTCCCAAAGTGCTGCAATTACAGGCATGAGCCATTGTGCCTGGCTTTTATCATTTTAAAAAAATACATAAATTCTGAGTAAAATATAGTGACATTGGTCTGTAGTTTTCCTTTATTACTGCCCTCTTTATGTTTTTATTTTTAATAACCAGAATAACAATTTTAAATGTAAACTAGAAATTAAGGTAGGCATAAATTCTGCTTTAACTATATAGATAAGTCATAAATTAAGGTAAAATATCTATTTACAATAGTAAGAAGATTTTTGAATATTTATGGCATATTCAATTTGAAAGAGAAATTCATGTTCTTAATTGGAAAGGCCTTCTTCAAAATGATTTAAGAAATCAAAGGAAATAGGCTGGGCGTGGAGAGGCTGAGGTGGAGGATCACTTGGGATCAGGATTTTGAGACCAGTCTGTCCAACATGGTGAAACCCCGTCTTTGCTAAAAATACAAAAATTAGCTGGGCATGGTGGTGCACACCTGTAGTCCTAGCTACAGGGAGGCTGAGGCATGAGAATCGCTTAAACCCAGGAGTGAGCTGAGACGGCACCACTGTACTCCAGCCTGGATGACAGAGTGAGACTCCATCGCCAAAGAAAAAGGAAAAGAAAAAAAGAAATCAAAGGAAATGGTTAATCTGCTAATCTGCATTATTTTGTATTTTTAATCTGAGATACTCCATTGATCTATACAAATTCAAACTCTCAGCCTGGAATACTCTTTTGATCCTTTATCTTCAATAATGAATCCAAATTAAAAATAGCTTTAATTGAAACAAATATTACAAAAGTGTAAGAACTACATCTGTTTTTTTTTTTTTTTTTCCAAGATGGAGTTTCACTCTTGTTACCCAGGCTGGAGAGCAACGGTGCGATCTCGGCTCACCGCAACCTCCGCCTCCTGGGTTCAGGCAATTCTCCTGCCTCAGTCTCCCGAGTAGCTGGGACTATAGGCGCGTGCCACCATGTCCAGCTAATTTTTGTATTTTTAGTAGAGACGGGGTTTCACCATGTTGACCAGGACGGTCTCGATCTCTTGACCTTGTGATCCACCCGCTTCGGTCTCCCAAAGTGCTGGGATTATAGGCCTGAACCACCGTGCCCGGCCAGAACTACATCTCTTAAATCAAAAAAGGTACACATTATTGTATTTAAGTCAACTAAGCATTATATTACACACTATCTTAAGTCAATGTAAAAGTATAGTTACCTTTTCTTTCTCAGTTGCATCTTTTGACTTCTTTTTCTTTTTTAAACTATCCTAAATAAAAAAATGTATGTATCAATTTTAAATGCTAAGGGCACAGCATTATAGAACAAGGACAAAAATACCCAAAAAGCGATTTGCTCTATGACTGAAAAAAGGCTACTCAATCCCAGTACATTATTTCAAAAATTTAAGAGAAATGAATGTTATGTATACATTTGCTTGTAAGCAAACAGGCTTCTTTATTTATGTGGCTGTATACCAAATTTACTCTTAAAATTTTAAGTATTGCCTATAATACCCACATGGCTTATTTTGAAATAGGACTTTGTGCCATTGCCTGTGTTTGCTTATGGTGGTCACATGCGCTGATGTTGTAATTTGAGGAGGCAACAATTTCTGCTTTTGAATCCTTTGAGTTCTAGCTATTAATCTTCCCAGTTCCCTTATCCACTTTATCTGTAAAGTGGATTACCTCATTACTTCCTAGAGTTGTTGAAATTAAATGAGTTAATAAATTAAGTTCTTAGAATTGTACCTAACACATAGTAGACACTCAATACATTTTAGCTATCATCATGTGATTGCCTCTTCTGCTTTAAAAGACAAAGAGAAAAATCAACATTTACTCATTACTTTCTAGATGCCAGTATTTTGTCAGAAGACCTCTCACTGGGGCAAGTAGCTATCTGTTATAAATGCAGATGGCTGCTTTGGTTTCCTGAGACCTAGTATAGTTGTTCGTCAAATTGTGGTCCATATATACCCCAGTATCAGAATCACATAGGGCATCTGTTAAAGATGTCGATTTCTAAGCCTAATCAGATTTGTTAAATCAGACTCTGGAGATAGGGCTCAGGAATCAACAAGTTTATCGAGAACTTCATAACTTTTTCCTGATGACTAATGTTTGACAGCCAACTGTGTGTCTGACAATCCTGGTTCATACAAAATAAACTTAGGTACAGTATAGTAGAAAGGACACTGGACCAGATTTTAGAAGGTAAAGATTGAACTTTTTTTTTTTTTTTTTTTTTTTTGAGACGGAGTTTCGCTCTTGTTACCCAAGCTGGAGTGCAATGGCGCGATCTCGGCTCACCGCAACCTCCGCCTCCTGGGTTCAGGCAATTCTCCTGCCTCAGCCTACTGAGTAGCTGGGATTACAGGCACGTGCCACCATGCCCAGCTAATTTTTTGTATTTTTAGTAGAGACGGGGTTTCACCATGTTGACCAGGATGGTCTCGATCTGTTGACCTCGTGATCCACCCGCCTTGGCCTCCCAAAGTGCTGGGATTACAGGCTTGAGCCACCGCGCCCGGCCCAAGATTCAACTTTTAATTCTAATACTAGCTGTATAATTTTACGCAAATGCTCTTTCTCTGAACTCTAATTTCTTTATGAAAACGCGGACAATAATGTCAGTTGCCATGGAAACGTGGAGACATGGAAATATATATACGAAAATGCCTGAAGAATTATTAAATGTCACATGCAAGATGTTATGAAGTACATCAATTAAGTGGCATAAAACATCAAGGTACAAATATCAGACTATCTTATTTTTAAATTGAGAGCAACTTAAGGAAGGAAGAAAAACTAAATGTCTTTCTATCCAATATGTTAATAATTTAAATAATTTACCTTACTGTCTGATTCAGTTTCAGACAAGGAGCTTTCAGAAGATTTATGTGAACGGTTCTTCTTCTTCTTTCTCCGTTTTCCTTGTTTTTTATCCTACATAAAATATTTTTAGAAACATTTGCTTTCTGTCTCAATATAATTTATACATTTATTAATATAAAACTTATCAATGAACAAAATTTAATGAAAGTATCAGCTTAATATATTTTTTCTTAATTAATACTTAATACATCACTTTCCTGTTATAAAGATCAAGTGATTTGAATCACATGTAATGCCTAGCATCTAGCCAAACAGCATCGGATTTTTCAATTATTTTTGTACTGATATTTTTAAGTCAACAAAACAAATTTTAAAATCTAAGAAATATATACCAATATTTAAGTTTCTAGTTATCACTCACTCATGTTAAGTGTTCTAAGTTATGGACAATCAAAACCTGGAAGTCAACATTTCACGATAGGTTTCCACTTGACATTAAAGAAATTAAGAGACGTTATTTAATGAACCATTATAAGCAAACCTTACCTCATCTTCAGAATCAGAAGAACTGCTGGAAGAATCAGAGCTTGATGAAGAAGAAGATGAATACTTGACCAAGCACAAAACAATGAAAGCTTGTGAGATGCGGGAATTTTTTTCTTTTACAAAGTCTCTCAAATACTTAGTGAAATCAATCTAGTGTCTGAGAAACAGATGCCATATTCATAAGTCCTAAATATAAAAATGTAAAATGTCACTTTTTCCCCATACAACAGCTCAACAGAGTAACATGTGGCCATAGTCACCAATCTTCCTTTTTAAATACCAACAGAAAATTTACTAGATTATAAGGTGGTTGGCACCTTTTTTTATTATCAGTGATAGAACAAAACCACTCTTCACAAAAGAACATCTAAGTTCCTTGACTCATCTAGAGTTTAAGTTACCTTGAGCATACAGGTTAAATAAATTATTCTTACTTTTTTTTTTGTTTGCTCTTAACTGTAACATTTAGAAAAATGGAAAACTTTTGCTCACCCTACCAGATTTCTTCTTTTCTTTTTTCTTTCTCTAAATGGAAAAAATAAAAGTACAAGTCTAAATAAGCTGATGTGAGTTCCCAAATACATCTATTAATAGCAGTATACAGCATTATTATGAAAATTCAACTATGAGATTAAGAATAGCAATAGACCAAAAGTGGTATTACCTGTCTTTTTTTGGATGAGCTCTCACTTCCACTTAACAATTTCTCCCTGTGTTTTTCTAGTTCTTTCTTCCAGTTCTGAAAAAGGTTATAAACATCATCAGGAGTTATCTATCCTTTCTAATATGCCTAATATAGAGAGACGGCCACTGCTTCCTTCCCTTCATCCTCTAATACCTCTCACCCATCTCGGCTTCTAATTAAAGTCAAAAGAAACACAGGTGCCAATCTTTGACCCTTATCACTAAAGGACCCTCTACTAGCTCTTTTCAAAGAGAAACAGGTATTACTCAGAGAGGAGCAGGGATGGGGGTTCTGTATTATTGAGGAGCAGGTATTATTACTGAAGCTGAGGTCTCTCCTAGTCCGTAAAAGTTGAATTAATTGATACTGTGATTGATACGTTATATACATGTTTGTAATCAAAACAAGCAAACAGGCTGGGTACAGTGGCTCACACCATAATCCTAGGATTTTGAGAAGCTAAGGTGGAAGGACTGCTTGGGCTCAGGAGTTGGAGACCAGCCTGGGCAACAACAGAGAGACTTTGTCTCTACAAAAAAAAAAAAAAAAATTAGCTGGGCATAGTGGCCTGCACTTGTGGTCCCAGCTACTCAGGAGGCTGAAGTGGGAGGACTGCTCAACCCTAACTTGGAATACAAGTAATCTACGTTTTAAACGACTTATATTACAAGATGGTTATTCTCTATTTTTTAAAGCATGCACATAAATACAAACTTGTATTCCCTATGACATAACACTTCTAAAATATAGTACCTCTTTAACTCAGAAAGCTATGCCCAATACTTAGGGCATTCTTTTATTTTTAATAGAGATGGGGAGGGTGTGTGGGGTCTTATTTTGCTGCCCAGGCTGGTATTGAACTCCTGGCCTCCTGTCTCGGCTTCCCAAAGTGCTGGAATTATAGGTGTGAGCCTCAACTGGCCAAATTACTCTATTTTTTTTAACAGATACTTTTTACAAACCTCATTCATTTTTTCTTCAAATTCAGCCAAAGCCTTGGAGCCTTTCTTTTTCTTTTCTAGTTGCTCTTTTACTTCTTCCCTTAAAAAACAGAATGTATGAATAAAATTTCAAGCAACTCAAATTAGATAAACGCTTACAAATAAGACAACAAAATTTCATAAACTCTTCTAAATATCCTAATAGACCACTATTCAATGTTGGTACATTTCAAATTTCTTTGTTCACATCTAAGAAAATAAATTACCATATTAAAGCCTATCAGATAACATCAATCACTCCTTTTTTGAATACGGATTATAAGAGCTAATACACCAAACATCTAAGCACTTACAACAGGCACGATTTAAAATATATTTTCATTTAATTCTCACAATAACCCTGTGAGAAAAGATATGGATCCCCATTTTACAGATAAAGAACCGAAGCTTGGATAAGGTAAGAAATCCACCTAAGGTCATAAACCTGGTAGTTTTCAGTGTTAGGATGCCCTAAAATCTCTCTGACTGAATGACTATATTCTGTATATGACCCATTTAATAAGGTATCTGACATGCTGCACAGAGAAGAGTTAATACAGCTTGCTGGACTGCTTATTCTTGGAAAGACGAACTTAAAAGACTGGCCCTAGGTGGGCATCTGGGAACTTGAATTTGGAGGATTCCTACTATTCTCTGATAAGAGCAGATCATTGTGCCTAAACTGTTTGTACAAACAATATCGTTGAGGCTAAAAACCTGTTTTCTTTCTGGGAATCTGGATTTTTTTTGTTTGTTTTTTTAAAAAGAGACAAGGCCTGATCTCTTGATTGACAAGAGCTTTGATTTGCTCTGTCACCTAAGCTAGAATGCAGTGGTGCAATCATAGTTCACTGTAATCTTCAACTCTTGGCCTCAAGCAATCCTCCTGCCTCAGTCTCCCAAGTAAGTAAGACTACAGGCATGCACTACTACATCCAGCTAATTTAAAAATACATATATATTTCTTGTAGAGACAGCATCTTGCTGTGTTGCCTAGGCTCATCTAGAACTCCTGGCCTCAAGTGATCCTCCTGCGTCAGCCTCCCAAAGTACTGAAACTATAGGCCTGAGTAACCACACCCAGCCCTGGAATCTGGAATTTTGGTTCATGACAGGTAGAGGCTGACCAGCCTCAATAAAAACTCTGGGCACTGAGTCTCTATTGAGCTTCCATTGGTTGGCAATATCTTACATGTATTACCAACACTCCTTACTAAGGGAATTAAGTGCCTCTCATGTGATCCCACTAGGAGAGGACCTTTTAAAATCTTCTCTGAGTCTTATCCAAATTTCGTTCCAAGTGCCTTTTCCTTTTGCTGAATGTGCTTGGTAGTCTTTCACTGTAATAAATCTTACCATGAGTATGACTATCTGCTGAAACTCCTGTGAGTCTCTACGAGTTACCCAACCTGAGGGATGTCTTGAAGATCTCTGCTATACATGTAATATATTTACTTGGACATTTCCCCTTTAAAGTTCATTCCCTCTCCCCATTAAAACATACTTTGTTTTGGGATAATGCATTTTCCCGTATGCTGCAATGGTTAACGATGGCACTCATACACACTGCTAAACAAACCTTACTTCCTATTTAACTCAAAGGAAGGATTCCCTATTATATATAAGAATACTTTTTGCCCAGTTTTCAGGGGCACTTGGGATTCTGAAGTTAACAGCTCTGAAACATGTGTCATACGTTGTCTCAGGAGTATGGTATTAATAACAAGGAAGACATACTAAAGAATGATACAGCCCATACTCTAATGCTTTATTTGCAAAAATCAGTTAAGTTTTTCTAACTAATTGAAAAGCTGGCAGACAAAACTAGAAACAAAGCTGAACATTTTTCTTCCTGATACCTGCTTACACCTCAGTAAAGGACAAGACTATTTAAACTCACTAAGAGCTTTGACCACTGCAATGCTAAGGTCTTTTAGGGGATAGAGAAGAGACTGGTATGAAAAATTTACCTGGCAGTGCTTTAGCTAAATTGGATAGTGGGTTCTCAAATGTTTGCTGTATAATTGCACATGTGTTTCATACATTCAAAAGAGAGCACATATCAAATGTTACCAAAAAAAAAAAAAAATCACTTATCTGGTAATTGCTTGGCAATCAATAAAATGAATTAAAGTCTTAAGAACAAGCTTTAAAAAGTTGATAAAAAGCTTATAAATAGGTAAAGTGTTACACAAATACCAGGTAGGCCTTGGTCGGTTCAGATAATCCTGTATTGTTGGCCCTGAAGACTGGATTGGACCCCTTGATCTTGCCATTGCTATTGGGTTCATATAGGCCTTTGGGAAAGAACAAAAATTAATTCCATTAAAGCAATCATTAAATATGCAAAAACCCACTTACTCATCAAGTAATCTTTACTATAAATAATATATCCAGCTAAGTACATGCAATCTGACTAAGCTACTTTTCATTCTAAAAAAAATTAATCCTCTTTTAAGTCTTGAAAGTTTAGGAGATAATATCACTGTTGGAGAGAAAATGTATGTGTGTGTTTTACAAGAGATTTGAGGAAATAATAGATACCTCTGACCTACTGATGGCTTTACAGTTCTTTCTCCTAAAGCCCGGTAACTCTGTGAGGGTGGTATCAATATGTTCACTGGAAAATTAGGAAACTCAATTCCAGGCTGAGTGTAGTGGCTCATGCCTGTTAATCCCAGCACTTTGGGAGGCTGAGGCAGGTGGATCACCTGAGGTCAGGAGTTCAAGATCAGCCTGGCCAACATGGTGAAACCCCATCTCTACTAAAAATACAAACATTAGTTGGGCATGTGGCACACGCCTGTAATCCTAGCTACTTGGGAGGCTGAGGCAGGAGAATCGCTTGAACCCAGGAGGCGGAGGTTGCAGTGAGCCGAGATCGCGCCACTGCACTCCAGCCTGGGTGGCAGAGCAAGACTCCCTCTCATAAATAAATAAATAAATTTAAAAAGAAACTCAATTTCAAAGAAGCTAAATAAGATCTAACTCTAAATTCATTGTTTATTCAACGACATCTTTCTTCCCAGGAAATACTATGTCATACTGATGACAATTTTATTCATAAATTGATAACATCAAAAGTTATACACAGGCAACAAAAAAATAAATAGAACACCAAAATGTAAAATGTTTGTGCATCAAAGGACACTGTTAAGAGTGAAAAGACGATTCACAGAATGAGAGAAGCAAATATGTGTAAATCATAAATCTAATAAGAGATTAATATCCAGAATGTAAAACGAGCTCCTACAACTTAACAACAACAAAACCCCCAAGTAATTCAAAAATGGGCAAAAGACTTGAACAGATATTTCTCTTAAGAAGGTATACAGTAAATGGCCAATACAAAATATGTTCAATATCACTAGTCATTACGGAAATGCAAATTGGAACCACAAAGAGATGCCAATCTATACCCATTATGATGGCTATTATCAAACAGAAAATTGCAAGGGTTAGCAAGGATGTGGAGAAACTGAAACCCTTTCCCATTGCTGGTGGGAATGTAAAATGGTGTGGTCACTGTGAAAAACAGTTTAGTGGTTCCTCAAAAAGTTAAACATAGCACTACCACATGATCTTATATTAACACCTCTAGGTATATACCCGAAAGAATTCAAAGAAGGGACTAAACAGATACTTGTACACAAATGTCCACAACTGCAGGGTTCACAAAAGCTGAAACATGGAAATAATGCAAATGTCCATCTATGGATAAATGGATAAACAAAACTGTGGTATATACATACAATGGAATATTATTCGGCCTTAAAAAAGAATGCAATTCTGATACATACTATATACAACCTGGATGAGCCTTGAAAATATGCTAAGTGAAATAAAATAAGAAAAACACAAAGGAACAAACATATTATTCCATTTATATGAGACACTTAGAAAAGAAATAGAATGGAGATTACCAGGGTCTGGAGAGAAGAGTAGTTTAGGAGTTTATTGTTTAATGGATACAGAGGTTCTTGTTTGGGATGATGAAAATGCATAGTGGTGATTGTTGTACAATACTATAAATGTACTTATGGTCACTAAACTATATACTTAGAAACAGTTAAAATGGTAAATTTTGTTATATATATTTTAGCTCAATTAAAACATCTGCAAAAATTTAAATCATGCGGTCTACTACACTTACTACAGCAGAAAAATATTTTAGAGATTTTTTTTTCAAAAACATATTAAGGCAAAACAAAGCAAAAGCTTTCTTTGTTAATGGCAGTGTCTAGCAAAGAGATGATGTCTTATTAAAATTCACATTGCTACTGATATAAAGTCTGGTCTTTAATTCAGTCTCTTCTTATATTTAGTTTTTCTAAATTTAAGTCAATAAAAATTTTATTTATTACTATTATTATCTTTTCAAAGACAGGGTCAGCCAGGCAATTCAAGACCAGCCTGGCCAACATGGTGAAACCCTGTCTCTATTAAAAACACAAAAATTAGCTGAGTGTGGTGGTGGGCACCTATAATCTCAGCTACTCGGGATGCTGAGGCAGGAGAATTGCTTGAACCTGGTGGGTGGAGGTTGCAGTAAGCCAACACTGAGCCACTTCACTGCTGCCTGGGCGAAAGAACAACTATGTCTCAAAAAAAAAAAGAAAGACAGGGTCTAGCTCTTTTGCCCAGGCTGGAGTGCACTGGTGTGATCACAGCTCACTGCAGCTTCAAACAATCTCCCTACCTCGGCCTCCAGAGTAGCTAGGACTACAGGCATGAGCCACCATGTCCAGTCTCATTCAACCGACATTTACGAAACTCTTCTACTTTTTTTCTTTTTTTGAGATGGAGTTTTGCTCTTGTTGCCCAGGCTGGAGTGCAATGGCACGATTTCGGCTCACTGCAACCTCCGGCTTCTGAGTTCAAGGGATTCTCCTGCTGGAATTACAGGCATGCGCCACCACACCCAGCTAATATTGTATTTTTAGTAGAGACAGGGTTTCTCCATGTTGGTCAGGCTGGTCTTGAATTCCTGACCTCAGGTGACCTGTCCGCCTCAGCCTCCCAAAGTGCTGGGATTACAGGCATGAGCCATCGTACCTGGCCAACTCTTCTACTTTTTAAAGAAAAACAATTTTGATTGAAAATGACTACCCTCAAGGTTTGTTTTAAGGCCTTATGCCTTGTAATAATCCAAAAATAAGTGAAAGGAACAATGTATTTGTTGCATTTTATTTAACATAATCTTTGAAAATTACCATAATTTCTCACCTTTATAACAGATAAAAGTTGTATACTTCCAGATTTTTCTGGCAGAGTAAACAATATAAAACCAGCATAAACAACACATAGTGAGAAGTATTCCATTCGATGGACACAGCCTAATTACTTGGAATGAAAAAAACAAATCTTTGACATACTTTTCTACAAGCAGGAACAAATGCTAGAACCCCTAAAGTCTGGAATGTTTATAGAATCAGGGCAAGATGTGGATATCAAATACAATGTTAAAGACAGAGGCATATTGTTATATTTTTCACATAAACTGTTATACCCTCAAATATTTCATTCAACTGATTCTACTGAGCATTTCGATTAGTTGGGGTGGAAGTATGACAAACAATGAGAGCAGAAATGCAGACAATGAAGACAAGTATCACGTGCAGCTTAGCTCACCGTTTGTAAAACAGCGTATTATTTGTACTGTTCACAGTAAAGTTTGGCTCAAAGTTTCCTCCTACTTGGGCAATAAAATTTGGCCCAAAAGGCCAGGCGCACTGGCTCACACCTATAATCTAGAACTTTGGGAGGGTGAAGTGGGAGGAGCTTGAGCTCAGTAGAGACCAACCTGGGCAACAGCAAGACCTTGTCTCTACTGGGTGGTAGGGAGAAGAGGCTCAAAGCTGCCTCTGTATATGGTGAGCTGCAACCTGGCTTGATGTGCAAGTAAGTTCTAATCTAATCTAACAGTATACCCTCTTAACCTATCAGTTGAGTCTCAGCCAATCACAGTAGCCCAACCCTCAACCAACCCCAAACAGAAGGCTGCCAAATTATGCCCAAATAAGGCGAACTCAGAACTGCACCAATCAGGTAATCTCTGTAAGTCATTTCCTGTTGCACATAGAGCTCACCAGGAGGTAGAACATCTTCCTCCACTTCTATAATCTTTTTCTTGCCAAATAACCTTTGTTAAATTTAACTGGTCTCAGGTTTTTTTTTTTTTTTTTTTTTTTTTTTAACAATATTCATCATATTCTAATTTCCTTGGTATCACGTCGTAATTTTGGCAGTACCTAATGGCAAAATATTTTAGGTTACAATAGTAAAAATTGTTTATTTCCAAAGAGTGCAAATATATACTTATCAAGGATATTCAGGTCTAAATTACTAAAACAGTAAACACTGAAAACACCCAAATAGCTATCAAACTGGGATTCACTAAATATATTAAATTATACCGCCTATGAAATATTATGAAGCTACTAAAATGAATGAAGTAGGTTCATAGTTACTGATAAGAAAGATGTTTAACATTTCTCAAGTGAAAAGCAAAGGCAAGTTGCCAAAATGAAAGATTTTAATAAATAACTAAAAATTTAAAAATCAGGCTGCATGTGGCAAAATATAAAGCAAAACATCCATATTCATTCACATACTGGAGAAAAAAAATTTACATAATGACTACCTTTATAAAAGAAAACAAAAAATGTACTATGCACAAACATTATTACAGTAATAATAAAGGTAAACAAATGACAAAAATCCAACCACAATACTGCCATTCCAATTCAGAGAGCTGAACTTGTCCTTATGTAAAAATTCACAGATAATGCAGTATCAATTTTTCATTCTAATGAAAAAAATACATAACATTTACCATGTTTTACATTCTTCAAGTTTTCTGGCATACACCTTTAAAGTACATATTTTTACTATCTTACTGTGTACTATCAAACTGCTTTCTTAAAGTACATATCAACCTATTCCTACTTTTCAGAAGAAAATAATAGTAAAGTAGTATATTCACGTTAGGACTACCGGTGCAATTAAATGAGCTACTGCTGAATAAGGCTTACTTTAAACTTTTGACCACAAACACTATCTCAGTCTGCTTAAGTACACTCCAAATAGCTCCATTATTTATTTCAATTATAATAGCAATATTTTAAAGTGCATCTTATGTTCTAGGCTCCATGCGAAACACTTGATAGTCTGCTCTTATTCATTAAGCAACAACACTTTTAAAACTATCCATATCAAAAAGCTTTTAAAACAAGAAAAGTAACTATTTTTACAAAGGTACAAGACTTTTCATTTTTGTATCAGTGTGAAAAGTAATGCTCCTAACATTAAGTGGGTGGTATGGTTAAGCATTCACTAAAATATAGAGATCGTGCAATTTCTTGAAACATTTCACTATGACTTAATCATTGTAAGTACTGTGACCTTGTAAATCAAGCATTCATATCCATATGCAACTAGAATTGTCTGTGGCTTCAAAGTGCTGCATGAGTTTAGGTAACAGAAAATTATTTGTTTTTGAAACTCAGGATGGCAAATTGGGCTCAAGGGGATATGTATGTGGGCAGTTACAAAAAGAGCAATGCAGCAAAACTGGCTAAAGACACAATGTGCAGAATTCCATTTGTTAATTTGATTACCTATTTTTATCTAGAGGAGGTATCTATTTTAGAGGGCCCAAAGTAGCAGAAAAGAACATGAAGAAAACTTCCAGAAAACAGGCACAAAGGGTGGCCATCATGAACTTAAGAGCCCTTTATGAGTCCTGAATTAAACTGTTCAGTTAAAAAAAATTGTCAAGAATGTACACCAAGAGTGAACCGTAATGTAAACTACTGACTCTGGGTGATGATGTGTCAATGTAGGTTCATCAAATGTAACAAATGTACCACCCCCCTAGTGTTGGCGGATGTTGATAATGGGAGAACTGCACAAGTGTGGAGGTATATAGGAACCCTCTGTACTTTCTGTTCAATTTTGCTGTGAACCTAAAACTGCTCTAAAAATAAAATTTAAAAAACTGTTCAACCTGAAATTTCATGGGTTTTTTTTTTTTTTGGAAAGCAATCCTATCATCTTTAAAACTATGATTGTATCATCAATGTAAGAAAGAACAGGAATTATTCCTGACACAATCTCAAAAAATGCCAATATTTTCAGAGGCAAATATTCATTCTGCTACTCAAAATCAAGTGTTATGGCAAAACTATGAAGTCAGTAAAAAGATCAGTGGTTGCCTACTTGGGGGCAGGGGTGGTAGAGGAATGACTAGGCCGAACAGAGGATTTTTACTCTTTATACTATATTGGTGAATGCACATCATAAAAAATTTGTTGGTTGCATGTGGTGGCACTCCTGTAATCCAAGCACTTTTGGAGGCCAAGGTGGGAGGAGTGCTTGAGGCCAGGAATTCGAGACCAGCCTGGGCAATATGGTGAAACCCCATCTCTATAAAAAAAAATTCACAAAAAAATTAGCCAGGTGTGGTGGCGCACACCTGTGGTCCCAGCTACTCAGGAGGCTGAGGTGAGAGGATCCCTTGAGCCTGGGAAGTTGAACCTGCAGTGAGCCATGATGGCGACACTGCACTCCAGCTTGGGCCACAGAGTGAGATCCTGTCTCAAAATAAACAAATAAAGAAGTACATTTGTCCAGGCCCATAGAGAATGAACAGTAAGAGTGAGCACTAATGTAAACTACTGACTGGATGATAGTAATATGTCAATGTAGGTTCATCAATTGTAACAAATGTACACTCTGGTGAAGGATGTTCATAATGGGGAAGCTATGCATGAGTGGGGTCAGGAGGTAAATGAGAGCTCTTTGTACCTTCCTCTCAATTTTGCGGTAAAACTAAAACTGTTTTAAAAAGATAGTCTTAAAAAGAAAATCAAGAGTTATGACACACAGAACTCAGTGTCAGATGACTGAAGTTTTGGTTCCAGTTTAAACAGTCTTATCCCCTCCTCTACGCAATGAGGAGACTGAATTAGACAATCTGTGTCTTCTACCACTTAATTTCTTGTTCTTAATCTCAATCTTTGAAATGCATACAAAATGTTACCAGAATACTCTGTGCCATGACAGCATACCAAAAGTCTTTAAGTAGAGCCCAGAGCTATCAAAGTGTTCTAAGTAAATGAAGCTAATTTGTTAAGTTTTTCAAATGCTTTTTTAAAGGGATGTTTAAAGTGAAATGCTTTTTCAGTAGTATGAAACATTTTAGGTCTGTATATGAAACTATATCCAAGGTCAGGTAATCTCTGAACATTCAAGGTCCAAGGGTATTAAAAGAGCCCAAATACTCAAACACCTAAGGATGCTCCAGCACAACACCATTTCAATGCTATGACAATCAAGACACCACAACAAAGCCTCATCTGTGGCCAGGAGAAAGAACATTCCACAATCTTGTAATCAAAATTCACTACCACAGTAGTTCCCAGACATTTTCCATTATAAAGACTACAAAGTTTTTAAGACGGTGAAATGGTTTGGATCCGTGTCCCCGCCCAAATCTCATGAGAAATTGTAATACCCAAGGTCAGAGGTGAGGCCTGGTGGGAGATAACTGGATTACGGGGGCGGAGTTCTCATGCATGGCTTAGCGCCCCCCTCTCCCGACACTGTATAGTGATGAGTCCTCAAGAGACGTGGTTGTTTAAAACTGTGTAGCACCTCTGCCCTGACCCTCTCTTGGTCCTGCTCCTGCCATGTAAGACACCGGCTCCTGCTTTGCCCTCCACCATGAGGCTCCTGGAGGTCTCGCCAGAGCAGAGGCTGCTAGGTTTCCTGTACAGCCCACAGAACTGTGAGCCAAATAAACCCTTTTCTTCATAAATTACCCAGTCTCAGGTTTTTCTTTATAAAAGCCATGCAACAACGCGCTATTACAGACAGGAAGTGTCATTTCATAAATGTAAGTCTCCTTTAGTGCGAGACACACAGAGCTTGCAAATAATTGTTGAATAAAAACGCGAGTTCAAGAAACGTAGCACATTCGTTTTACGTGAATTTTCCTCATTTTGCTACTCAGTGGCTAAAACTTTGTCACAGACAAGCCCAGAAACTGTCAGGCTGGAACCCAAGCTTATTGGTATTTCATTACGTTTACTATCCCATTCAAACTGATTAATAACCTGAGCTTTCAGCCCTCCCCGCCAGTGACGTAGACATCTCCACCTCTCAAAAGCACCTTTTCTCTTAAATGCCTTTAGAATCTATATCTATCAAGTACTATTTCTTACTTTTTCTGCTGTTATGTATGCATCTCTTTTATCTCATTTACTAGAGTAATAATTTTCATGCCCAGTACTTTCTCACACATCTTGCCTTTTGTGGTTTCAATTATTCTGCAAGGTTGTAAATAATGATCCCCTTTTACAAACGAAGGCACAGAGATGAAAAGTAACTTGCTCTAGGTCACCTAACTTCAGACGGAACAAAACTGACATTCCAGTTTTCTGCCGGACTCCAAAGCCAACTATTTTCACGCCATTCATTCCCTCACAGGTTCTATAGGTGCCAGGGCGCTGGAGATACGAAGGCAAATGCTGCCATCCCATTTTCAAACGAGAGCCCGCTTGTCAATAAAACCAGGCATGCTGCTGGCCCTCCCGGGCAGGGACCACGTAGTGGCCTCTGCCTCCGTCCCACTTGGGTGCGCAGAAGGAAAGTGCGACCTGGGTGGGGGGGGGCGGATACGGAGGAGCGGGTGGGTCCGACGCCTCAAAGGCCTAACACTTCGGAGTTACGTGGCGGGGAGGAGTTCCCCGAGCGCTCGCGGTTCTAAGTGGGCATTGCTGGCCCGCGTCCAGGAGGCAAGAGTGCAAAGAAGCAGTGCCAGAGGGAGCAGCGGGGTGAGGGAAGAAAAAAGGGGCGGGCAAGAGAGAGTGTTGGGAACCCTAAAGCGCCAACTTCGTGCGCGGCGCACGCGCATCTGGGATGCGGCAGAGGGTGTTGGGTCTCCAAGCCCCACGTCCGAGGGCTGCCGCTGGCTATCCGGCCTGGCCGGGAACTGCGAGGGGTCTCGTTCTCCCGCCGCCCGGCCCTGCCTCGCTCCATTGTTTTCGCTGCCGAGTACTCACCACCCGATTGTCCCTCTTCCCCATGGTGCTGGGCCGAGCGCACACTAGCCCGCCGAGCGAAACCCGGCCGGAGACACGGCCGAAGTGGGCCCGCTGCACGTCCTCCAGCCGCCTTCCCACTCCGCCCAGAGAGCGGCACTGCGCGGACCCGTCGGCCGCGCTTGGCCACAGCGCCCCCTGCCTCTGCGGAGGACACGGCGGCTCCGGCGATCACAGCAGTTGGCTGAGGGCCTGCGGGAGTCCGGTTGTTTGTTACGGACCCAGGAGCAGGCGATGCTGCACTTCTGCACCGCAGCCCTACCTTCCGTTTGGCCTTGGATTGTTTTGCTTTCTTCCGTTCTTTTTTTTTTGGAGACAGAGTCTCGCTCCGTCGCCCAGGCTGGAGTGCGGTGGCGAGATCTCAGCTCACTGCAGCCTCAGCCTCCCTGCTTCAAGTGATTCTCCTGCCTCGAGCAGCTGAGATTACGGGCGCCCGCCACCATGCTGGGCTAAATTTTTTGTATTTTTAATAGAGACGGGGTTTCACCATGTTGGCCAGGCTGGTCTGTAACTCCTGACCTCAAGTGATCCGCCCGCCTCGACCTCCCAAAGTGCTGGGATTATAGGCGGGAGCCACTGATCCCGGCCTTTCTTTTATTCTTAATGCACTGAAATACTCATTCCAGGGGACACAAAGATTCTTCCAATGCTTATTTTGTGCTTGGCGGAGTGCAAGTGCTGGGGACAAAGTGAGGACCAAGGAGCCTTGGTCCCTCACGCAGTCCATCAGCTGGCAGGGGGGAAAGACAGTGCTGTCACAGACGCTGCTAACGAAATCACCCTTTAATTTCAATCCCATTCATTCATCACCTATGCATTCATTTCACACTAATTTTTGAACATGTAGTTTGTACAGTTTTCACTAACTGGGTGGCTGGAAGCTGGAGCAGGGAAGGGCACAAAGATGATTAAAAAAAATCCCTATTGTAAAAAAGAAAAAAAAAAAAATCGCTATTGTCAAGGAGCCTGTTTATAAACTCGTAAGGGAGATAAGTTTACTGCATAGGATATCATAATACTGGCACTACAGTACTGAAACTTCAAGGAAGATGATCTGGGCTCCAGAAAAGTTTTATTTAGTAAGTATTTATAGATAATGCGACCCCTCTGGGCTCACCTTGCAAGTGTCATTAGGAGGTAGTTGAAAATCAATTAGGATCTTCTCTGGACTGTTGGAAAATGGCAAACTGGGAGTTATACTCATTACATACAAGAACATGCTTTAAAATCATCTTTCCCAATCTCTGCTCCCTCCCTGTATTTTTCATGCTGCACTATATGACAGATGCGCCCAACTCCCATTTACTGTCTCAGAACTTTTCCAAACTCTTACATGCAGCCCTTGGTGGTTCTGCTCCCCACAAAGTGTTGATTCTTCCTCAGTAACCCACTTTCCAAAATGAGGCCTCCAGTCTCTCATTTCTCCTCCTCCTCCCTTACCCCTGACTTAAGCTGGGGACTCTGACTAAAGACAAGCTTCTCTTTATGCACAGGAGGAAGAGGAGAACCTGTGAATATTAAGTTAATCTTTTTTCCTGGCTCATTTTTCATTTTTTAAATATTCTATGCACTTGACTGACATTATTGTTAATACTCCAACATGATAAGCATAATACCTGTGAGAGAATATAGGTTTTTTTTCCTCTTCACCTCCTTATCTTTCACTTCCTTAGTTGGCTGATTTTACAGAACACAGAGGTTTGTAAAAATGTGTTATAAGCCAACAGAAAGGTTGTGTTTCCTTTAGAAGTCTCTCTCTCTCTCTCTGCCAATGTACACAGCCCCTCCTGGATGAAACGTGGATCCCTGGGGAGGACAGAGAAACAGGAAAATGACCAGGAGCCTGTGGAGATAATGAAGATGGCAAGAGCTGTCGGGAGCTCATCTGAGTGAACTCCATAAAGACGAAATCAGTACAAGACTTCTCAGGATATAATTCAGTGACAGTAAAAATCTTTACACATTCTCTGCACATGTGTGATCTGCTAATAAATACAATTCCCTGCTAGCAGTGGGCCTATATACCCTCCCAAATGTTCTAGGCATAACCAAGAGATTACATTCCATTTTGGATGAGAAAAAATGAGTCTAAGAGAAGCCAAGTATTTTGTGCCAACTTCCACAGCAAGGTTGAGCTCAGGAGTTGAAGGCCAGCCTGGGCAACAGGGAAAAACCTCATCTCTACAAAAAATCTGCCGAGATTGGTGGTGCATAATAGTTCCAGCTACTTGGGAGTCTGAGGCAGGAGGATCACCTGAGCGTGGGGATGTTGAGGCTGCAGTGAGCTGTGTTCATGCTACTGCACTCCAGCCTGGGTGACAGGGTGACAGAGTGAGACCCTGTCTCAAAAACAAACCAACAAAAAAACTGTGAGTATATACAGTATCACAGTACATGCAACAAGAGGATGTATTGGTTGAGCCTTATGAAATGGCCGATATGCAATAATTTCTAACCTATGAGAATGGCAATTTCATATGGTTCAACTTTTTACATACTTACACTTGAAACCTTCACGTTACTTCATAATGATATTATATGTAATAAAATCCACCAGTTGAAAATGTTCAGTTTGATGAGTTTTGGCAAATGTATAGAGGGTGGACATAGGAATTTTTATTTCCCACCATATTTCCTTCTTTCCTGATTTATTTTATTAATAGGACTGCTCAACTAATCAATTCCCTTTGCTCCGATTCCACACTCACCAGTAACTTCTGGATGCAATTTTGCCTACATGGAGAGAAAACGATGAGCAGCAAACATGATCATCTTGTGCTCCTGACAACTCTATTTTTCACTGTAAAATGTTTTAAAAGGATGTTTTTAAAAAAAGGATTTGGATCATGAAAATCAAATAGACATTCATGTTAATTAATTTTCCTCTTGTAAACCCCAGGTTGAGTACTATTACTGGATGAAGGCAGTGGAAGCTACCAAGTAAAGTGAGTCAGAAAGGAAAGTTCCTGGTGTTCATGAGGGCGCCAACTGAATCAATGGGTTATAATTTCACTGTAATTTTCCTCTTGTTCCACCCTTGTTGAGGTGACTCACAAGCTATAAACGTTCTTGGACAATTATTTCAGGATGGCTTTGTTAGCATTTGAAAGAAAACATCTTTACTTTTTCTTTGAAAAATCAGCTTTATTGAGGAATATTTCACATATAATAAAATCTACCAGTTTAAAATGTTCAGTTTGATGAGTTTTGACAAATGTGTATGATCATGTAACCATGACTACCATCAGGATATCATTTTCCATCTCTCTAGAAAGTTTCCTTTTGCCCTTTTGCAGTTAATCCTATAACCTTGCTAAATTTATTCATTCTATTAGCTTTTTTTTTTTTTTTTTTTTTTTGTAGAGCCTTTGGAGTTTCTGCATAGACACTCATACTGTCTTTGAATAAAGAGAGACTTGCCAGGCATGGTAGCTCATGCCTGTAATGCCAACACTTTGGGATGCCGAGGCAGGTGGATCACTTGAGGTCAGCCTGGCCAACGTGGTGAAACCTCGTCTCTATTCAAAATACAAAAATTGGCTGGGCATGGTGGCACACACTTCTAATCCCAGCTATTTGGGAGGCTGAGGCAGGAGGATTGCTTGAACCCAGGAGGTGGAAGTTGCAGTGGGCCGAGATCTTCCCACTGCACTCCAGCCTGGGTGACAGAGTGAGACTCTGTCTCAAAAAAAAAAAAGGCAAGAATGAGAAAGAGAGAGAGAGAGAGAGACTTTACTTTCTTCCAATCTATGTGCTTTTTGTTTTTTTTGCTTATTGCATTAGCTAGCACCTCTAGTACAATATTGAATAGAAAGTGGCAAAAGCTGACATATGTGCCTTGTTCTTGATCTTAGGAGGAAAGTACACTGACCTTATCCAAGTGTAGGGTCACTATTGCACCAGGTCACACTTCACACCTCACATCTTTTACTTTATACTTAGTAACTTTCATTTCGCAGTTAATATTGTTCACATCCCACTTACTGATCAATTCTTTATTAAATCCAATCTAATCAGGCTTCTACCTCTACCACCTAATCAAGATTTCTTTTCAAGGTTGCTCATCTTCCCCATGGTGCTTAATCAGTTGCCCCTCGTTTTCCTTGACCTATCAGCAGCATTTGTCACAACAATGACTCTCTTTTTATTACAACAGCCTCCTAACCCGTGCTCCCTGCTTATATCTTTGCCACGCTGAAGTCGTCTATTCTCAGCAGAGCAGCCACAGTGGTACTTTACAATCACAGTCAGATCATACACCATGCCTGTGATTCTTGCCTTCCAGCAGTTTTCCATCTTATTTAGAGGAGTAAATACCAGAGTCTTTGCATTGGCCAAGAAGCCCCACCAAGATATGCCATTAACTTCTCTGGAATATCTCCTTTCTTTCTCCTGAGGTCAATTGCTGCTAAGCCCCTTTGCTGTTATTTGAACCTGCCGGTCATGCTCCTGCCTTAAGGCATTTGCTCCTGTTTTTTTCTTCATCACTAGCACACCTAGATCCCTCTTCTCCATAAGGCATTTGATCAGGTGTCACCTTCTCTTTGTGGCCTTCACTGACCTCCTGGTTTAAAATTGCATCCCCACGGCACTTTCTATTCCTTTCCTCATTTTTTTTCCCACACCACTTACCTAACATCCAAGTTTATTATAGTTATTTGTTTGTTGCCCCTCACTAGAAAAGCTCCATAGAAACAAGACATTTTGTGTGTTTTGTTCACTGCCACATTCCCAGTGTCTAGGACAGTGCCTGGCACATCGTGGTGCTCAGTGAATAGTTACTAAATAAATGAATGGTTTCACCATCATATCTGCCGGTCTGTTTGTACCTGTACCCACAGCTTTACCTGCCCTCCCATTAATCCTTTTCTCTCTCAAGTGCAGCTGTTCCTCTTGTTCTCCTGGCCCCTTCCTCTCCCCCTTCTCATCACCTTCTGCTGTTATTCCTTCTTTTTCACCCTCAGTCTCTCTGTTTCCACAATGGACTGTCTTCCATCTCGGAAAACAAGAATTTTCCTTTGACACCACATCCTCCCTGAGCTCTACCCTCATTTCTCTGTTCTAGTTTATGATTTAGCTTCTCAAACAGGCTGTCTACATCCTCTGTTTACCTCC